GGCTCAGGGCTTAGGGGTTTAAGGTTTAGGGCTTAGGGGTGTAAGGCTTTGGGGTTTAAGGTTTAGGGTTTAGGGTTTAGGGTTTAGGGTTTAGGGTTTAGGGTTTAGGGTTCAGGGTTCAGGGTTTAGGGTTTAGGGTTCAGCGTTGAGGGTTGAGGGTTTAGGGTTCAACGTTGAGGGTTTAGGGTTTAGGGTTCAGCGTTGAGGGTTGAGGGTTTAGGGCTGGGCTTTCAGGTAGCCATCAGGCCGATCGTCTTTGCTTCTCATCGATCGCATACTTGGCCCAGTGGTGTAAGGCTTGGGGATGCTCGGTGTTTAGGGTTTAGGGTTTAGGGTTTAGGGTTTAGGGTTTAGGGTTTAGGGTTTAGGGTTTAGGGTTTAGGGTTTAGGGAAATAGCAAGAGAATCTCTGCCTGTTTGTGATACGACTACTTATGCTGTCGACTGTGCTAACGACGACTCCCACGAGCCGCGAACTAGAGCTAAAGCAAACAGTGCAGACGAGCATAGCTTATTTCCAAGCCGGCGCATCGGAACTACTTTCACTCTCGAGGCTTGAAGGTTTCAGAGCTGAGAACTTCAGAACCCCCGATAACCCCACACTCCCCCAGTATCCTGCACTAAAGTGCGTCAGATTGACAGACAACTTTCTCTTCGTCTCCTGGACTGCCTACACCAACCCCAAAAGCGTAGCCGTAGCCCAAGCCTAAGCCCTAAACCCACGCAACACCCCTAGGGTTTAGGGTTTAGGGTTGCGGGCTAAACCATCCTAAGCCCGAGAGCCACATCGACCTCGGCACCCGCCGTCTTGGCTCCGGTGTGATGTCTGGCTGCGGAACAGCTGCCGGTGGCGCGGCTGGCACCGGCAACTCCTTGGGGAAATCCTGACAGAGACTCCCAGACTCAAGGCCTTGATCCCCAAAGTCCGGCTCAGCTGTCTGGTGCTTAGTAGGGAATGGGGGAATGGGTTATAGGGACTACAATAAGGGACCTTAAGGGACTATCATAGGGATCCATTCCCCCATTCCCTGCTAAGCACCAGACAGTCAGGTTTGGTTTAGTTTCGGGGTTCGGTGAGCTTGCGGTGGCAGGTTGAAGTTAGGGTTTACTTAAAGGATCATGGGACTTAGCAAGTAGGGTTATAACTGAGGTAACTATAATAACCCCAATTAGGGGACTTCTAACCTTACTTACTAAGTCCCATGATCCTCCAAGTAGGGTTTGGGGTTAGGGTGCAGGTTCTCCACAGCTGAGGTGGGGTCTAAGGCTTGGGGCTTGACATCCCAGAATCCAGCAGTTGTTACTTCACTTTTCACTCAGCCGCTCCAAAGTCCTCGATCTCGTCATCGTCCAAGTCGATCACCATCGGCCGTGTGGCCATATTTCCAGCATATGTAGTTACGGTTCAGGATTTGTGCAATGAGGGCTTGGCACTACAGCTACAACCCAGTTTGGACGGCTTGGGTAGGCTCGAGGGATTCCTTTAGGTCCTCGGTTCGGGTCGCAGAGGTCGCAGTGTACCTTGACCGCTTCCACAACATGTTTGGTAATTCCGGGTTCCGGATCTTGGTTTATGGCTGAGGGTCCAGGGCTTGAGGATCGGATTCGCTGTCAAGCATCCATGCCTCCTTGAACCCTAAACCCTAAACCCTAAACCTTGAACCCTAAACCCTAAACCCTGAACCCTAAACCTTGAACCCTAAACCCTAAACCCTAAACATACCTCCTTGAACTGACTTGCTATGCGACGGAGCCTGGGACGGGCTTCCAGGCTGAATAGCCCTCATGCCGGTGCTGAACGAAAGCAATGCCCGGAGGCATTCGTTCCCCGTTTAGGGTTTAGGGTTTAGGGTTTGGGGGACCCTAAACCCCGAAAACCCTAAACCCTAAACCCTAAACCCCTAAACCCCTGATCCCCCAAACCTGTAAACCCCAACCCTTACACCCCTGAAAGCCCTGGAGCCAGATGCCCAAAAGAAAGGGCTCCTTTTAGTAAACGTTGCAGGGCTTTGGGCCTAGGGCTTTAGGATTTTAGGGCTTTAGGGCTTAGGGTCTTAGCTCGTAGGGCTGTAGGGTTTAGGCGGTTTAGGGCTTAGGGGGTTTAGGGCTTAGGATTTGGGGTTTAGGGTTTAGGGCTTTCGGATGTAGGGCTCAGGGCTTAGATCTTGCGGTTTAGGGTTATGGCAGCGGGTATAATAAGAATGGCAAGAATCTTCATACCAAAAGCCGAACCATAGCCATGACAATGGCAGTTGCAAGACAGGTCACAACAACACCGTGCATGGAGAACATTGTTCCTCTCAGGGGATTGCTGTGGCCTTACACTCCAAGGGCATAGTGTCTCCCCTTGAAAGCCCTGATAGAAGGACTCCTTTGCTGCAGAGGCCACTGTAAGCCCAAAATGCCCCAAGCCCTTCGTCACAAGCCCGAAAGCCTGGACACTCAACCAAAATCCTGAACGCTAAACCAAAACAGCAGCTAGGCCATCGAACCCCAAAGACACCAAGATCCCTGAATCACACGACGCCACCTTAAGCTACAGCTATACGAATTACTAGATCATGAAACCCGTGCCACACGCTCCGACAGAAGCTACAAACCACTTGGTTATCAAGCAGCACCCTAAACCCTAAACCCTAAACCCTAAACCCTTATATTGCCGTAGAAGACCTTTTCTGCTTCTGTCAGCGAGTTCGGTGCTGCGGGATGCCCTTGAGGTTTCGGGTTTAGGGTTTAGGGTTTAGGGTGCTCCTTGAAACCCAGAAGCCAACATAAGGGGAGAGGTGGGGTCAAAAGGCTTAGGCTTAGGCCTTGGAAGCCTGACAAAGATCTTGAAGCCCACACCCTGGGTTTAGGGTTTAGGGTTTAGGGTTTTGGGTTTTGGGTTTTGGGTTTAGGTAAGCCCTAAACCACAAGCAACTCATCCGGCTCTGGGACATTGAATCCGGAGAGCGTCACATGGCCGGGGGGACTGCTCCAGACTAGCCTGGCAGCTGGAGGTTTTGGCTCCCTAATACCAAGCTGAAAGGGGGATCCTGCTTAGAGTTTAGGGTTTAGGGGCTTAAGGGTTTAAGGGTTTAGGGGTTTAAGGGATTAAGGGTTTAGGCGTTTAGGCGTTTAGGGGTTTAGGGGTTTAGAGTTATCTTTAGGGTTTAGGGTCATCTTCGAGTCGAGCTGCAGGGTGGGAACCGTTAGGACTTGCGATTGGCTCGATGTCCTGTTGCTGTTTGGGTTCCTGGCCTAGCTCTCGAGGTATAGGGGCCTGTCGAGAGCTCCTGCGGGTTTAGGGTTTAGGGTTGAGGGTTGAGGGTTTAGGGTTTAGGGTTTAGGGTTTAGGATGTAATAGTACATCAAAGGAAAATATTCGCCTCGGCCCCGCTTGGGTTGAACCCGAAAATGAGCTCCAGAGTCCTGCAATGAAATCTCGCCTCCTCCA